CCCCAAAACCCCAAAACCCCAAAACCCCGCTAATCAAATAGTCTTTTTAAACGAGAAATAAAATTTTATATACGTTATATTTGAAAATGTCGCAAGTTAGATCATCAAATAATGTTTTATGTCATGAAATGCAATAACTTTTGAAAAAATTCTTGCTTACTATTTGTAAAGGGGAGAAAAGTATCGAGTATCAAAGATAAAAATTGGCAATGCATGACAAATTTGAACCTTTTGCCGCTTTCTAAAGAATTGATAGAGATCAAGATGGTCTTATTAGCTCAGTTGAGATAATCAGATTTTTAAGGTAAGTTAAAAGATCAATTTTATGATAAATTAATATTAAAACAAAATCTAGAGACAATGGGATTGAAGAGGCAAATGAAGCCGATTGCTTTTTAATTGTGAGATATTTTGATTCAGATGAAGACGGATTCTTGAATTTCTAGGATTTTCTTTAGCTACTTATGCCCTGTGACAATCAAAATTTAAGAACAGAATTAGCGATGAGGCCAAATTATCCAGTATCTGGGTCTTAATTCCTTGAGAGAGCAATTGAGGCTGAGCTGACAAAACTATTTGAAAGGTAAAATAAAGATTGTAATCATGAAATTCAATATAGAGAGATAGCTTTCAACAGAGTGACAGAAGAAATAAGGTAGAGAATGGACTCTTCTAAATAATTTGATTATGAAAAAGCTTTCAATTCGATTGATGATTGGAACTACGGCTATATAGATAGAAAGAATTTGAAATCCTTCCTTAAAAAGCATGGACATCTAGCGAAGACTGAAGAAGTAATGGCCATCATTAGAAGAATGGATCTAGATGCAGATGCCAGATTGAGTAAACAAGAGTTCATCACTGCTCTGTAGCCTGAGGAACCTTATAGTAAAGTAATGAAAAGATCATCATCTAAATCTGCATAAAGAGGTGTCCCTTCTTTTGCTAATGTCAGAAGAATCTCTGATATCTCAAGGTATAAGTATAAGCCTGATGAATTACTGAAATTCAATGACAACCAGAAGGATGTTATAAGAACTTTTGCAATGGATAGGACTATTAAAGCTCTTAATGAGTCAAAAAGTCCTTTGAAAAGTAGACCATATATGTAGAATATTGATGATCATCTGTAATATGTCTCGCCTAAGACAATTTAGTTTAGAAGCAGATATGAAAGCTTTGCAAGAAAAACTCCAGGCTCTATTAAAAGCTTCAGAAATAAGTCTGTTAGATAATCAGCGAAAAAGAAGTAGCATTAGGACGAATATTCAGAGACTTTTATGATAAGGCCTAAGAAATAGAAAGGTGGACTAAAAAGTGCCAATAAATCAGGCTAAATTATGATTAAAATGAAAAGTCATAAGAAAAAATCAAAGGCAAAAATAGGAAATAATGAGTAATAGCAATCAATAAAAAGAAGAAAATCAAAAATTAGACGTGAGGATGTCTTAAGCTAAAGTTAAATTGATCCTCCTAGAACTTACAACTACAAACAAAAGAATGAAAATGATTATGAGCCTATAAATAGAAGTCATATTGATAAAGTAAACTAGTCTTATACATCCTCATTTAATGACAAATAGTAATTAGATTAATAGGCAGTACAAAGCTATGAGAGAGCAGAAAATTAGCAAGTATAGATTAATATCGAGACCTATAAAAGAGAATCACCACTGAAGAATGATTCAAGAGCTTTACATCAATCATAGAAGTCACTTATATATGGATCTGAACTGAGAAGAAGCTAAAAGACAAAGATGAACACGAACGACTATTCCCCTAAGCATTCTTATTTAAGAGAGCTAAGATCAAGCAACATCAAAGAGTCAGAAGTTTCACCATTTAGAGATACTTTTACAAGTCTTAGAAAAAAAGAAAGATCACTTTAAAGTTCTCCTTCGCTGTCTCCTGGAAAAATCTAGATTTAGTCTCTTCGATAGAAATAACCATCTGTTAAAGAGTTTAGATAGCAAGAATACTAGCCATTGAGAGATAGTCCCCCGAGATATTAAGATCGTTAACCATTAAGAGAGAGTCCCCTAAGAAAATAAGGCTACTAGCCACTTCGAGATAGTCCACCAAGAATGCAAGGCTACTAAGCACTAAGGAATAGTCCTCCAAGATAACAAGAATACCAATAGTTAAGAGAGAAAGAAAGTCCTCTGAGAAGAGAATAGTCACATGTTAATCACTACTCTGAAAAAGAAATTATAGTGTCAATCTTGTAAGACTTCATTCAGCTAGAAAAATAGTTTGAGAAATTTAAGAATGATATGATTGTAAAGCAGGATTTTAATTTGATAGATGGCTTCGGAATTCTTGATCACGAAGGAAAGGGACTTTTGAGAACTTCTGACTTGAGAGAATCAATGATGGATTTGGGGAAAAGATTTACTTAAGATGAAATCAAGTTAATTTTTGACAGGTTCAATAAGGGAAATGATGGACTCCTGAAGTACAGTGAGTTCTCAGAATGTATGACTCCTGTTGATACTTAATATTTGAAAATTTTAAGTAATAAAAAGCTAGCATATATTGGTGGTCCAGGTGTATGCCCATTCTAGTTCGATACTCTAAATAAATATCTATAATTCTGGGAGCAAGTAGTTTAGAATGAGAAAGCTGTAGATAACTTAAGATAGAGACTAGCCATTAGATATAGGATAGATGCCAGAATTGCATTCTAAATTTGTGATATTTATCGTGATGACTACCTCACATAACAAGAAGTATTAAAACATAATTTTTAATCGATATAGGTTCGATAATTCATGAATGATGGAGGATAAAATGTAACTATGGATGATGTTCAATTGTTGTTTAATAGATTCGACAAAAACAGATACGGAAAAATCAGTTTTAAAGAGGTAAGATTTTTATATCTATCAAACCCATTAATAGTTTGAGAGAGAAATTACTCCCAAATCTCAACAAAATTATTGATATAAATATAGTTTTGATTTGTCTATGCTAATTTTCCTTTTATTAATTTCTATTTTATCCTGTAATTATCAAATTTCACTTTGTGGGGTTTTGGGGTTTTGGGGTTTTGGGGTTTTGGGG